TTATTTCATTAGTAAAACTACATTACACTAAATTATTCATCATTTCCACCTCTGACCTACAGCACAGTTATCAACCTCCTCAATCAATATTTAATGTGTGATTTTTAGATCAATAACCAGGTCCTGAGCATCTGACTCTACAATAACCCAGATATTTGACTATTTGAATGCAGTGGACGTTCTGATTGTGATGTGTGTACAGTGTAAACAACGTCTGTGTATTTTGGATGAGCTGGCTGCAGCAGTACACAGGGACTGTGCTTGATTAAGTTGGTGGTGTTCCCTCACCGAAGGGTTTGCGGCAGCATAATAATACACTCATAATGTAGGTGCAGATGTGATCAGGATAATCACAGTAATTGATCACATCTTAATTAATTATTCTAGTGTTTGTGTTATTGGGCCCTACAGTGTTGTGAGGTCATTTAAAAATCCAAAAAGGTTAGGAACCGATAGACTCACTTAATGGTTATGTAGTCAAGCAGCTGTTTGCTGAATAAAACATTGTCCCATCAGCCATTGAGGTTTAAAATATGTGCAGTAAAAACAAATGACGGCGTGATATTATCTAACCGCTCCATTGATCATTGTCTGAGAAAGCTTCTCTGTCAGCACTCTGATGGGACGTTATGTTAACAGCTAGAGTTTCCTACTGATGGTATAAAAAGACTGTGCTGCTGGTATAAGATGTTTTTATCCTTTATGTTGAAACAGAAGCTTCAAGGCCAAAAGCCAGCGAGCGTCACGGCCACTGCGCAAGGATGCAAATGAAAGGACAGTTACTTTGTTTTTCATCCTCACGGTGAAATCGTTACAGCCGGAGATGAACAATTAATGACAAATTGTTTTGATTTCAGATCCCCCACTTCCTGTCACATGACTAGGGCCCTCTGTGCACTTTTTGCCGACATAGGCAAAACCTGACTGGCGTCGAATCACAGCAAAATCGATGAGAGGACCTGAAAGAGGACACCTCTGCTGGGAAGAAAAAAAAGTGTGCCGCATTGATCAGAACAGAACCAAAAGTCCTCTACAGATACAGAGGGAGTCAGAGTTGTGTCATTACACTGCAGATTGCAGAAATCCACATAACAAACAGCTTTTACCTTCATTACCTCTGGTTGCCACTTAAATATTTATGATTTTTTTTTTGTGACCCTATCCTCAATCTGCCCCTGGGCTGCAATCGTCATCTCTACCTTTTCTCCTCTGCTCGCTTCTTATTCGCTCCTCCCATTTTTTTTCTCTCCACCTCATCTCACCTCCTCCGTCCCAGACCTGCACCCGTAGGACATCTCTGGCTGGGTGTCCTTGGGTCCCTACAGTGACAAAGGTACGCTGCTCTCCTCCTTTTGTCCACGGTATCTGTGTTCTGAACAACACTAATTCAGCGTGAGTAATTCTCTAGTATTGTATTAAGTCCCTGGGGTATGCACCGTTGGCTTCACTTATTATTAATCACCTACGCAGCTAGCACTAGCACATCTTTTATGTCGTTTCTGCTCTATTACAGCAAACTACAGTTAAATTAGCCCAGGGAGTCAAGTGCATCGCATCCTCTGCAGAGACTGCAGTGCAGCCTCTAATGGTAAATTCTACCTTCTTTGCCTATTTGTGGAGTCACTGGCAGAGCAAGCAAAACTTTGGGAACTTGTCCAAATGTCAATAGTAACACCTTCTGCCATCAATACTGCTCTGTGTCTGGAACTTTTGGATGGTTTCTCTTTTTTTTTACTTTCTCAAGCTAAACATGGGTTTTCAGCTGATAACGATTGAAAAATGAATAACATTAACCTGCCACAACTGTAGCATAAAATCTGTTATAACAGTCAGGCATTTACATTTGCATTATCAAATAATGTTCTTACTTTTTAATGTATTTTATTATCTGTTTGTTGTCAAGAAAATATTATAAATCAGTCAAATTTGACAACAGAGAAAAAATTCAAATAAAAAAAAAAGGTGGCAAAAAGCCTTTAAAAAAAGGACCAGACTATCTAAGACATTTCACTCATCATCTGATTACTATTAAATAGAATGAAAATATTCAGTCCAGTTCACAACTCACATGCACACACTAAAACCAAGGTACACAGTAATACAGCACCTCTATAAATGTACTTTTACACAAACCCTGGAAGGGTAGTTGCTTGGGTCAGCCTTTACTTTTGTGGTTAGCATAACTGGGGAAACCGAACTGGGAGATCATCAGATTGGAGAAGCTGAGTGGCATGACACCATAAATCTGTGTCAGTTTGTTGAGACAGTAGGACCTCTGAAGAAGGTGCTCGGGGCGATGCCACATTCCCTGGTACCCACTGCTGGCTTCCTTTTCTAGGTTTCGAAGGTCTACGGGTTTCACAAAGACTCCAGAGGGGTTGTTGACCCTGCCCGTAGACTTTAAGTGTTTTCTTAAATACAGTGACACAGCAAAGTTCATGGCAATGTCATCGCAATTTTGCGTTTCGTCCACCAGAGCATGAACAGCTGGAGGTTGGTCCTGGAAGAGCTGCAGGTAACGGTGGTGGAAAAAGGCAGCCCCGATCAGCACCATGGAATATCTGCAGCGAGTCGAGTGAAACGAATCAAAGCAAGTCACAAAAATTAAGTGCTACAACTTTTTTTTTTTTAAAACTGCCCATACTTGTCACCTCCAGCTGTTTCTGGATCCTGCATTTCAAAACTACCATAGCTGTAGACGCCCCCTGCTGTTGAAACATGCTTACGGGGCACAAAGCCAACAATTTGGTCTGAAAATTGCTGCAGAGACAAACATAACATATGGGTACATTTTGTGATACACACTTCATTATTCATCTTTAGTCAAGGTCTGGCCTGCGGGCCAAAAAAACTAGAAAAGGGCACAGAACGTCCTTCATAATGAAAAAACACTTTTCTATCAGAGAATTTGTTTCACCGTGAAAAACATATTCATATAATTTCATTATGTTTTGTTCCAATTTTTTAGGTACAGTATTGGGTTTTTAATTTTCAGAAAACTAAGGTCTTTTCAGTCAAATTTTATTTTCTTAAATTTAGTTATTAAAATGGTCCTTAAAAGGTCCTAAAAACAAGTGTTTGATAGTAAGAAAAAATTAATAATAAATCTCATTTAAATAAAATAAAAAGGTTGAGAAACTGTTTCTTAGGCAAAGAAATATTTACTTAATTTAGTTATTATTATTATTATTATTATTATTATTATTGTTAAACACAATTTCCCTTTTTATATTTGGACACATGGGATGTACTTACCTTCCAGACCGAGAATGCAAAACTGATGTCAGGAACACTTATCAGAGTGTCATCATCCAGCATCAGCACAGCTGAAGAATAGGTGGAAAACATATATTATATTACATATTTGGTGTTTATCATTATTAAAGTTGACATAAAAACCAACCCTCTGTGTCGATCTCAGGAAAAGACTGGAGTCTGTTCCTCATTCGATTGCTAATCTGCTCCTTAAAAACGATAGGGACTGGATGAGGACCCAGAGAGTTCCATAACTTCTGTGGCGTCTGCTCCCCTTTGTTGTTCCACACGATGATGATCCGCTGCAGATGTGGAACAGCCTGGTAGTGATTCAGTA